AGTGATGGCGTAAATCATTTCATAGCTTTTCATTTCCCGTATATTCTTTTAAAGTCAATCTCTAATGCACATCTCTATGGTCCTTCTTTATGGAAAGTGCACTTAATTTTAAAAGCTTAATTATATCTTTTAAAATGAGTCCAATTTTCTAATAACAATGATTATTTCTTGAAAATATGCTGCTCAGGTAATAAATATTTCCGTGTAAAGTAGCACATTAATAGAAAAGCAACATTCTAGAAAGAGTAGACTTCAAGCACATTGAATTACTGAGGCAGAAACCAATTTATCATTTTAATAGGCAATAATTTTAATAACCGAGCTAGGTATAGGGCACTTTGCGTTAATGACCAGAAGGGGAGTGAAGGGAATGGCTTAGACTGACATGATCATTAACAGAACTAGAATGACTTGTGCAGCCTGAGCTCCCCAGAATCACCCCAGTGCAGTTTCAGTTCACAAAGGACATGCATAGAAGACACTGTGTCCAAAGAGTCTGATGGAATGGAAACCCGAAGAAAGCATGGATTAGTGTACCAAGACAGAAAACTGCTAAGGTATGTAACTTCAACATAGATGCTGGAAGGACAATGCAGATCATGAGTCTGCCGTAGTCCAGAAATCTAAGTGGAGACAGTATGCCTGGAAAGCAGTGGAAGGCTCAGGCAAAGTGAGAGGTTTAATGAACTTGGCTCTAAAAGCTAAATGACATTATAACTTATGAATTATTAAAAGTATCCAATAAAATGATGGCAGCATGAACAAACATGTATAATATTGGTAAATCAGACATCTTATTCACTACAACAGTACTTATAGTGTTTTTAAAAGAATGCTATAGTAATGTCAAAATGGCCCTTGTCTACTGATCATAACTTCTCCCAGGGCTCTTCAACAGATGTGTTCATTCCTGAATCTGGGGTGAGGAATCTATTCACTACAAGAGGAGAACCATGAAACCACAATATTCCACAGGGCTGTTCAAATTGAATAGCAATTCAATGGATTTATTTTTTCTGAAACAAAAATTAGAAGAACAAGAAAATAAAATAAATCTGCATTGTATTCTCACACAGTTTTCCATTTAGCTGTGTCTCCAAGCAGCCCTTTCAGAAGAGCCTCTTCTGAACCCATGTGCCAAGATGGCTTACATCATTCCCTTCTTTAAGCCTCTCTCTCAACACATTCTGTTGAATGCAGAAAAAACATTTCTCTCTTTTACAATGAAGGTCCTCTGAGGGAACCTTCGTTCCCTTCCCCAAATGCATCAATAGTTTCACATTAATCATTGTCCCTACACATCTCTTCTAGACTGAATTCATTTCACCTTCATAGTGAAATAATAGCAGGCAACACAACCAACTCTTATTCCAGCATCTCATAATTTGATTCTTCCCCACCCCCCAAGAAGCTTCACTGCTGTCTCCTTTTACTAAGAGTTCATTCTTTGTTCTATACTTTCTTTTGTACAGTTGATGATGAAACCCTTTGGGGTACCTGCTTTCAACATTTCAATTACTTCTCACATATTCCAACATACGGTTTACAGTAAATATATCTAGCAGCTAAGATCACCTGGTGCAAAGCAATAATAACCACAATTATAATGCCATGGACAATCTAGCTACAAACCACAGTTTTACATCTTTAAATTATTTCTTCATCCTTTTTTTCTTTTTCGTTTTATGATGATTACATTGCCACTTTTGCCAATAGGTAATGTGACTAGACACTTCCCCTATGGTTCAATGAGCCTCTGATGAATGAGTGAATGACTGGTACACCACAGTGCCTTGGGCTAAAAGTTAGCTGCTTGGGCCAAAATACACTTAAAGTTTATGAGAAGGTGTATCATTCCACACCTTGTCCCCTAAAGCACCGATCTTTTGAACCTTCTGTCTTTAGTTTTCTGCCCTGTAAAAATACATTAAGCTGCCTTTGAAACAGGAGCAAACACTCCAATGGAAAGAAACTGCATGAAATCTGTTCGTGTCTGTACACAATGTAAATAGAAACCACAATATCTTTTTTTTTTCAAGAGCCTAAGCTACCCTATCCTTTCAAGAGAAGGCCTTCTAATCAGAAAAGCTATGTGTACATACAAAGTCAATATGGACAGTATGACATTATCACTGCATTCTTTAATATGTAGCTGCAAAGAACCTGAAGCTTTCCCAGGCATAATATGATGACCTGTAAGCAACAGACCCTTACTCAATTAATATGACCTGCTCCAGTTGCTTTCAAGCTATCAGAGGGTAAGTAGCTGCTTGCCATCTCAATATGCTATTAGTATATTTTTATTTTATTTCTTTCTCTCCATCCCCTCTCTTCTGTGAAACTATTTTAATCTGAAATATGCCAACATATTCCCTATACTATGTAGATATGGAACATCAGCTATCACTCGACTGAAAGGAAAATCCCATGAGGCTCTCTGGTAATACAGCAAATTTCTAATCTTCTTCTGTATGTTTAGGAGACAACACACGGAAACTAACAGTGGTGCCTCCTACTCATATCGTCTCCAGCTCATGGCTCTATCATTAGTGAACAAATATGGCCACATCATTCCTAATAGTGTAGATCTTCTAAAGCCTGCAAAGGGGTACGTCTCTCCTTCCCAGTTCCATTTTTCAACACAACACTTCAGCAAGTGCCTTGGTCCTCAATGTCCTGTCTGAGTTCTCATTTCCACATATGCTGAAATGAAGGGAACTCACCAGTCCATAGAAACTCTACTTAACCTATTCATCCATTTTTCCTTTCCTGCTACAGTGATAAGATTATATTATCCTGCCGGGTGTTGGTGGTGCACGCCTTTAATCCCAGCACTTGGAAAGCCGAGGCAGGTGGATCTCTGTGAATTTGCGGCCATCCTGGTCTACAGAGAGAGTTCCATGACAGCCTCCAAAACAATACAGAGAAACCCTGTCTTGAAAAAAAAGATTGTATTTTCCTTTCCCTTATGGATATTCCAATTAAAGTGATTATTTTTATAGAGTAAAATTATACCCTTATTTAGTAAAATATTTTTCAAATACGTATTAAGATCTTTAAAGGAAAAAATTGAGCAGGGACTTGACATTTCTAGTCTATTTTCTGTATAAAATACCTCCTAATTTCTATTTAATTGGTATAAATTGGTTAAAATGTAGCCTTTTGAGATATTTCCTTGTTGATGAAAGCCTTGATAACCCACAAAGGAATTACACCAAGTAAAATAACGGCATCTGTTATCATACAGAGTATCTGCCTTTATACTTATTTTGTACTTATTTCTGAACAACATAATGGCACAGAGTTGGAGGGGCGATAGGGGAGTGAGACAGGGAGTGAGAAGGGACAGACACAGGGCCTGGAGAAAATAGAGTGAGCATTTGGTGAGGAAATAGTTACAAGTGCAACTGTTTTTTTTTTCTCCCAACACTGGAAGCATTCAAGTCAAGGTAGCAAAACTTGACTATATTAAGATTGTGCATACCCTTTGTTGGCCCGAGGATAGCTGGCTCTGCCCCTTGATGAACAATCTAGCAAGAGAATTGGCTTAACCCAGGATGTAGAGAAGCTAAATACTTAGTAAAGGTCCTGTTTTGTTGTGCCACAGAAATGTTATCACTAAGGAATCTGCTAAGATATGTGCACTCACATTCTCATAAACTTAGTAGAATTAACCATATTACAGTCAGATATTTAAGAAGAAATGAAAGCAATCACAATATTGGCACGTCATATTTTATAATCAAATTTATCCCACATCAAATAAAAATAGCTATGTTTATGGAAGACATTTAAAGAATTATACAGTTACCTAGGAGGTTGCAATGATCTGGAAAAATGGCAAATTCAAATTTCTAGGTAATTTCATTTTAAGCATTCCGCTAAACAAAGGAAATCACTTCAGAAAATTTGGTACTGTCATGTATCGTCATTGTGTTGTTTTCTACTATTCCATATATCTGTGTTCTGTGGGCTGTATGCATCAGCTGAAGCTCACAATATCCTATGCTATTTACAGACCTGCTGCAGTCAACATCTGTGGAAAGGTTTCAGAAATTGATTTAAAGTCTGCAACATAAGCATATCCAATCCTAAGTGTACACAAGGCCATATATCTTCCTGAGGAGACTGACACGTGGTCCCTTCTCTGACTGGTGATAATGCATCCCTGCCAAACCCAGATGTAGTTTCAAATCCAGAGAGATGGAGCCCAGTGATGGATAGGTCTAACCCAGTTGTGCACACATTTGTATTTGGAAAAGCTACAGTGTAGTATTGACAATACCTTCTTTTTTTCTTTTTTCTTTTTTACTTTCTCTACCCTGTTTCATCAAGTGTATCAAGATGTCATGATGTCCTGCCAAGTTGACAAGCATATGATCAGATTTAATGGCATATAAAAATGTCAGACTGTTTTAGGGAAGCAAAATTTCAGCACTAGAAATTTAACAATTAATTGTACTTCCCTGGCAACCCCACTAAAAATGAAATTAAACAGTGGAACTCTTTCATTAGAAGGATCTGGCAGAAAACCTCTAATAGAAAGCTTTTCTAAATTAAAAATGGCACATGATTTGCTTTTCGTGTGCTTTTACCTCATGGGCCTTAGCTTTTATCATGTTTTCTCTCCTAATCAGTGGTGAGTTCAAGGACAGGTCTATATCCTTTTCATCTACAGATCCTAATAACTTTCCAGCATGAAATAAGGCATTTGATATATGTTGCTAAATTAAAGTGTGTGTTCAGATATGTGCATATTGTAAGCTTTGGAATCAAATATGAATCAGAGCCGTGTTATCAATTTAATGAATACTCTTATGAAGCGAATTGTTTCACCACAGAGCCCAATTCATGTTAAATGCTGACTACCAGTAACTATGAATGTGATGTTTCTTGGAGATAATGTCTTTACAAGTTAAAACCATCAGGTAAAATGGAAAGTTAAAATGCAGTCAATAAAGTAGTCCTTAATTTGTGATGAACAGTATCCTTATAAACAGGGGAACTTGGACATGGAAAACGCTGTCACAAAGAAAGGAGCAGATATCAGAAGGATTCATGCAAGGCAAGGAGTACTGAAGACCTCCAGGAAACTAAACACAGCTAGGAGGAGCTGGGAAGAATTTGTTACATGCTCTCAAAGGAACCAACCACCTTCACCTCAGACTTCCACCTTCAAGAACCATGACCAAATCAATTTCTGTAGCTTAAGTCACCTCGTTTGTCATACTTTGGCTGTAACAGTCATGGAAAAATAATATAATAACTTAGATCATTTCATTTCACTGTTCTGTGCCTGTTTTTAAGATAGAAATAATATGTCAACCTTGTGCCTGTAACATATCAATGCTCAACAAATGGGAGAGATGAAAATGGTAAGAGAAAAAATGATACAGGCAGCATGTATTTATTTAGTGCCTGATATGTACAGAGTCCTGATCTAGATTCTAGAGAGATAGGTGTTCAAACTGGAGCTCACGAAGCTGATTCTAATGAGAGCAACAGAGCATATCAATCAATAAATACTATAGCATGCTAGATGACAGGAAGCAGGAGAAAAAAATAGGCCGAGAAACAAAATGTGAAGGATGAGTTGAAGGGATGCATTATATGCAGGATATCCAGCATCGATAGGTTACAGGAAAATAAAAGACAAAGGGAGAGGTCTCAGGTTTGGACTTCTAAGGTGACACAAAGACTTATTTTCCTTTGCAGTAAGTGATTTATTATAAGAGTTGTGAGGCCCATAGATTATTAGTAGACAGATTGCTGTGTGGTGGAGGCTCCAAGAACAGAGTGGGGAGCACTGTTCAAAGGTTTTGGAAGGAGGAGGTCCCATGCTTCATGATTTGGTTGAGTAGCCCATAATGCATGTTTGTAGTCAGGCTGTCTCTGAAACAGATGTGAGGATTGGAGAGAAGAATATAGGAAAACAAGTCGCTTTAATTCTAGAAGTGAAATTAGTTCTGTTTCCAGAATAGCAACAGTCGAAAATGCAGGAGCTTCCCAAATCATCATGGCACTGGATAACACAAACTACAACAAAAAGGCGCCAGCCACAAAGGAATTTGAAGGAAATAATTTCAGAATACCAGGACAGCAAATTCAAAGACACCTGCCCCCCAAATGCCCAGGTGGACTATACCTAGCATGTTATGGTGACAGAAAGGAGCCAAGTACTGATGGGAAAAGCTATGAAAAGGAGCAAGAAATGCCATCAGAGATGGAGGCAGAGAGACTTCAGGAGCCACATAGGTGGAAGTGGTCTTGGAGCCCTGGGGGACAGTGGCTGTAGACTACAGCAAGATGAGGGGTAGGGGGCTGTCACAGTCTCATTTATTCTTTGAATGAGATTATACTGAATGGCATTCAATCAGCCAAAGGAAGGGAAAGATAGAAACATGAAGACCAGGTACTATTTTATCCCAGGAGCCAATGGGTGTGATAGGGAGCTTGGACCAGGCTGTGCAAAGGATGAGAAATGGTCAGATTCTGGAAGGATGTTGAATGTAAAGCTGATAGTGTTTATTTCAGGGATAAATGTGGAATATAAAATAAAGAGGAGTCAGGATGACCTCTATTGGGGCAACTGGGTTTAATTAGTAAGGAGAATCCAGGAAAGAAAGCCACTTGGGAGGCAGGAACAGAACCCCTAAATTTGGTATGTTTGTATGTAGATTCTGCTAGCACAGGAACCAAGGGATATGCAGGGTGGGCAGTGGGATGTGAATGTGGAGTTTAGAAACTGTGTCTTGGCAAGGGCCTGTGCATTTGGAGGTTGTTTTAGATCTTAAAGTTAAAAGAATGTGTGAGATCACTATGGGAATGAGGCAAAATGCTGACATTTAGTACATGCTTGCAACATTCCCAGCCACTGTTTAAATGCTTTATATACACGACTGCATTAATCCTCTTAACGAACTCTATGGGGGATCAATTGTTCACATTTTTCATTCCCCCTGAAGTTTAGACTTTGCCCATTGCACAAAGGAGGCTGTTTCCCATCAGTGTAAGTGTTAGTGGCCATGATTAACAGTCACTGTTTTCAGAATTCACTCTGTAGTGCACGTGAAGTTCCCAGGTCCACAATGCAGACAATTCTGGTAAAAAAAAAAAAAAGTGTAACATGATGAGCCTTGCCTAGGAAGACACTAGGTTTTCCACAAAAAACAAAACAAAACAAAACAAAAAAACCAAAAAAGGCTTGGAATGGAGATTTGACTGGGAATGCAGGCGTGCTACATGACCACAGCCGGGTTTGCCACACATTTTTACAAAGCGCATGGTTAAACAGGGCTTGTAACTTGAAGAAGTCAATGTATCTTTTGATGAAGAAAAAAATCATTTTATGTATTGAACTCTTTACCCATAACTTTGAAAATGGTTATTTTTAATACTATGCTTATTTTTACTGAGATCAACAATGTCCCTAAATGTGATCAAATTCTGTGAGAAGCATCTCATGGTAGTACAAAAGAGGCACTCAGAAAATGCTAGGTCTTTCATTCAAGTGCTTGAAGTAAACAGTCTTGCAGTCAATTCTTCAATCATCTTGTAGCCCAAGTTTTCATGGCACCCACATGTAACTTTGTTTTTCTGTCCTGTACTACTTTAATTGTAGTCTTAGCCATCCTGCAGATGTCTATCAAGTTGAGTTACTCTGTAAAAAATCTTCATTGTCTAACCTTCAATGACTAAAAATAATAATATAATTGACCAAATAAAAATAGCCTACACTCTGATCTTCTAAGCATGACCAAAACAAATGTCACCTGTGTTTAAGCTTCATTTAGAATGACTTTACCTAGTTAATACATACCTTATGTCTTTAAATGAAAATCCTAGTCTAATTTATACAATGTTATTCATGATATATCCCATGGCGTTCCTTTCCCTATGTTCTATACTAAATGAAAGTGTCTTCTTTTTCAAAATAAACTCACTGTGGCCCCTTCTATACTACTCTAATAATTGATGGCTTGTTTCTTCTCTAAAATCACATAATGCTAAATATTGAAACACTGAAACACTCAGTTGTACATTCTGATGTCACTGAAGTATAACAGCTAACTAAACTGCAGATTCCTGTAAGTACAGGGCCATGTGATGATCATACTTTCTCATGAGGGCATCTAGGAAGTAGCCTTCAGCCGGTCAATGGTTACCTATTTTATGCATGTACTACTGATTACCATACCAATTAGAAAATGCAACCTTCCATCCTCCAGGAAGCATATATAATCTTAACTTTGGCAACAAGTTGCATGCAGAACATTTTCTCATAACCCATGAGTGAAACAATGAGCACATGATCTCAGACATCTAGCACAAAGCACTTAACAGCAATGCTGCCAACATTTTCTGGAGCAGATATTCTCTTTGGAGAACTTCTGGTTAAAAAAAAACTTTGTAAAAGCAGCTAAATATCTGCTAACAGAGGATAAGGTATATTGACTATCATTAGGGACCTAGTAATGGATAACTCTAAAAACAATTAATACTGTGAAAATGTGCTCACTACACAGCAATGAGTGACATGGCCTGAAGCAACCTTAAGTTAAAAAGTTTTCACCGTGTTATTCTTTCCTCATGTCAACCTTCTTGCTCTGATTTATTCCTTCAGAACTTTGCTCTGTAGTCTTCTCTAGCCAAAGCATTTGACTACTGGCTTCCATACATCTCTAGTACACTTCAACCATCTCCTGAATACACCTCCCTTTTTAACACCAGCTACCAACCATTTTCTAGAGCCCTGCCCATTGCCCTCTACCTATAGATTTGCTGCTAGTCCTATGAACAACCTACTTATTATGAAAAAGCATGCCCTAAAACAATCTCTTCTTTCTCCATGTTCCTGTTCTATTTTCTCCCATCCCCTGTGTACATACCACCCAGGATTTTACTATTATTTTTTAAAGGTCAGTATGTACATTATTCCAATGAAGTAGAAACTGGAGGGTCAAAACTATGTGAGTCACACAGGGATATATCTCCATGTGAAAAACACGAGGCTTTGTTAACAAAACACTCCAGGACTCTTTTAATTTCATTAAGATTTAGATAAATATTGTGGCTCTGATCTTTCACTAAGTGAATTTAAAGAAAACGTTCATTGGAAAGCATCTCATAATATATTGATTTTGGCCTGAATCTATTCGAGGAAACCTTTTCTCTGTGTTTACATATCAATTACTGCAACTAAAGATGAAAATCAATTACTAAAAACCCACCAAAGTATGCAGAGCACCTTTTAGTTAATTAGAAAGGTGAGGCTACTTCTACTAGCAAAGTGAAGCTGGTGTCAAAAGCACACTGGCTGCTTGGTGGCCTTGTTTGCAGAGCTCTTGCCCAATAATGGAAAATGTGCTGTTCTCCAAACTCTTGCTCAGCCAAAGCAGTGCACTGCATTCTGGCTCTTACCTGCATCTTGACATGCCCCCTTTTGAGAAGTTTGCTTCATACTATGCTCCAAAGAATGATATTATATTATGACATGAAAAATAAGCCCAAAGTGACACTACATATCTGTGTGGTCCAGGATTCCAAGTGGGAAAAGGGACCACAAACAAACCAAATTTTGGGTTATGACAACACATACATTAACTTGTTAATAGATTATTGTGTTGTGTCTAACAGAATAACACTTGGTATCTGGTAAATTGTCTTACATTTCAGTTATAGGTAGGTAAGGAAAGAACTTCTCTGGAGTCAGAGATACTTAATTTGTGAAAACATCTGCTGCGTTCTCCAGCAGGCTGGCAACCACACACACAGTATAAAAGGCTTTCAAAAGCCTCTGGTGGTGTTGATCTGGCTAGTGGCTAAGGTGAGATCCATATGGTGTCCACATACAGAGAAACACTCTGAGAATGGACCTCACCCGGTACTCTGTGGAATCAAATGTATGCCAAATCTTAGGTACTCATAATACAGTTGATAATTATAAAATATACCCCCATTTCACAAGAGTGGGAAAGCGGTGGATGAACAAAACCGTGCTATGGATGGAGATCGCTCTTTGACACTTTTTAAAATTCAAATGGCTCTTACGCATCGGCCAAGCAGTAAGGCTATTAAAATTGGAGTACAAAGATTTCACTGCTTCAATTAAGCATAGGATATACTTCACATTTTGATTCCTGAGATTTCCCTCCCCCTCTGCAATTAAAGTAATGAATCTATTCAACAAAATTAGACTTAAATTTTTTCTGTTAATTGCATATTTTTTTCCAGCTTGTAAAATGCCCAATAAAGAGCTTTGCAGATTTTTCCAAAGCCAT